AAAAAAAAAAAAAAAAAAAAAAAAATCAGAACTCCTTCCTCTCTTGGAGGGCACATTCGAGAGACTCAACCCCCAAAAGGCTCTTCCTTCTCCCCTCCCCCTTATCCCACTGGACTGCCATTAGCAGATGACCTCATTTTCTCCCAGGAGGCCAGGGCCTGGGTCTCATTCCCTTTGTATTCTCAGCACCTCGGTCAGGGTCTGGCACATAATGGACACTCACCACGTGTGAGCTGAATGGCACTGCTGCGCTATCGCCAACTTAATCTTCCTAAAATGCTGCTCCAGTTAGAAGCCGTCAGTGCTTCTCTATCTCCCTTTGGGCGAGGTCCAACCTCCTGAGACCGGCACTCGGGGACTCTGGCAACACAGTGCTCGTTGCCTGCCGCCCGCCCGGCGTCCTCTCTTCGTGCTCAGCCACTTCATGGTTCCCAGCACAGTCGACAGCTTTCCCATCTCTGTGTCTTTGCCACAGCGGTTCCCTCCACCTAGAAACCCTTCCACGCTCTCTAGTGCAAGCTTGCCCCGTCTTGCAAAGCTCATCTCAATATCATGCTCCTGCCCTTCTAAACTGAGTTTGATCCACCCTTTCACAGCCCTTTATCCTGCTCTGAGTTGACTTTGAGTGTCTTGTTAGGAACCTTAAAAGAGGCCCTTACAAAATGAAGAGCAGGGTAGAGGTGCCAACAGGCCCAGTTGACTGTCACTTCTCATTAGACGCCAAAGGTTCTCCCAGGGTAGGGCCTGTGCACAGCCCACCTCCAGGCATTCATGAGTGCTTGCGCACTGCAGCTGGTCCGTGAAAGTGACACCATGCCCATTCCCTCCTCTGCCCCCAAAATGCTGCAGAATATGCCAGCGTTAGGCTGTCTCAGGTGGGAGCAGAACAAAACGTTGTCAGGATGCCCGGCCACTCCTATCCCCTGGAGCTTTCTAGGCCTGGGCCTCAGGCCCTGTGTCCTACTGCCTGCTGGGGAGTGGGTTGCAGATTCACCTGGGGCTGAGGAGCACAGTGTTCTGACCAGCTAGGCTTAGGCGACATTGAGGACAACAGGTGAAGGGCGGCCTCAGGCTCATGGAGGATGTTGGATGTAACAACCTGTCCTAACATTCTCCAAGTCCAGACACCCATCACCTCCCAGCAAGGGCCAAGGCAAGGGAAGCCACCTTCTGAAGCAAGAATCCTGGTGAGAGATCAGGAATTCCTTCTTAGGAGACTTTTGGGAACACAGTGTGCCAAGGCAGGTACTAGCGGTAGAAGGAGGAACAAGACAGCCTTCTGGATATGCTTCTGATCTTCCCTCTCCCTTTTATTCTAACCTCTGCTGGCCTCGTGACCCCCTCCTTGGACAGCACCTCTCATGTTCCTCTGCTCAGACCAAACTCCCTCCTGTCTAGACACTATACTACAGCCAGAGGGATCTTTTCAGTATGACTCTGCTGCTCTCAATTCTTCAGTGGCTCCCCATTGCCCTTAGGTAAAGTCCAAGCTTTTTTCCCATGAAACTCACAGCCCCTCACAACCTTCCCATCCAGGCTGGAGGCCTCTTTAGACTGGGCATCATGCTCCAGTTTCCAGCCATGCCAAACTGCTTGTCATTTGCCTCCCATATGATGCTGCTCCCCATGCCTGGCTGTGCTGTTTCCTCTACCTGGAACACCTCCTTCACCTTTTCCATGTTGCCTGGTTTTGTTATCCTTTCGGAAGCCTTGCTGGCCCCACAGGGACCCCCTCCTTTGGAGTTCTACACCCTTTGGGCTTCCCTTGAATCCAGGACTTATCCTTGTGTTCAGTGTAACTGTTACCCCAATTATATTTCTGGAGGGCAGAGTTTGGGTCTTCCCAAAGCTGTATCACTGGTACATGGTAGCAGCTTAATACATGTTCAGGAACAGAACTGAGCCTGCCAAGCTCCCTTCCCCATGAAGGGATGCTAGAGTTGGATATGTCGGTAAGAGCTGTCCTTGGGCTGAAGAAGAGACTCCCATGGGCAGCTGGTGTCAGAGCACTGTCTGGGGCAGCTGGGCCCCCCAGCAGAGTGGCCAACCCTTTTCTGTGCCCTTCTCCTTCCAGTTCCCCGGGAACCAGGCTTCCTGGCCCACTTCTCTAGTCCCAGAGATCTAAGTAAAACAGAGCCAACACCCATGCAGGTCGTGCAAATGACAGCAAGGGGTACAGGAGGCAGCAACACGACACCCACCCCAGGGCCCCAGGAGTCACTTGTCCTTCTGGGTTTCTCTCCACAAAGAAATTAGCCTCTCTTCTGTCCCCTGAAGCCTGTTTTCAAAATCACACCCCATGCAGACAGTTTTATTTACAAGGAAATCTTGGCAGGATCTTGACTTGTTAGTAGAGTAGGGATGGGGAGGAGGGTGGTGAGAAACAAAAATAGTTGAAATGATCACACTTTCTGAAACAGAGATGAAAATTTGTGTCTGTAGCAAACTCACCTAATTAGAACCAAGTTAATTCCCTTCTCAGTGTTTCAGGAGAGCAGTCATTGCTGGTGAGATGGTCGCAGGTCGGATTCTGGGCACGGGGTTATGTGTTTGCTTTATGAAGATGACTGCATTAATTGCAGCTCTCACTAATGGAAAGGAGCCTGCTTCGGAGAGGAAGGAAGAAGGGCAAAGACTAGTGAGTGAGTGGGTGGTGGGAAGAGGAAAGGAAGAGGTGTGGAAGGGCACAGCCTTGGTGTAGGCTGCAGACTGACTGTGAGATGGCTCCTGGAGGAGCCCCTGAGCCTCTAGGAAGAGCTGGCCCCTGCCAGGCCGGCCACTGGCACCGTTTACAGCCAGAGCCTCTGCTTCTGGAGATGGTCTCTTTTGGGGGCACTTTCCTGCGGGGAAACAGCATCGATTTTTTTCTTTAAAAGATCCCCTACTCCTTTTTGGCTTCCTTTCTGATTGTTTTAGTTTCTTTACCGTCCCTCGCCCCAGATGGGGCACTTCCCTGAGCTTACCTTTGTCCATGCAGTCAAATGAAGTCTGGGCATGGTCACTTAGCTCTAGGGTAGGGAGGGCAAGATTTAGGCTTTGGGGCCCAGGACCCCCCAATCTGACATCTCCCATTTCTAGGCCTCCCGGGACCTCCCAGAATCTGAGACCTCAGCGAATAGGACCTAAGGATGGTCGGAGGGAGAGGGGATCCCGTCCTTACGGAACGGCGCCCCAATTCACTCCTAGTTAACCCTGACGTCGCCAACTTAGTGAGAACCTCTCTTCTGTCTCCATCACACATCTCCCACCTCCAAAAGATGGTTAAGCCGATGGGAGAGACGAGCCCGGGCCCGGAGTGCAGGCCCGTGGTGACGGGGTCAGGGACCGCGCAGTCCCCCTCCCCGCCCCGGGCAGCGCCGCCACTTCCTCGCCAGCTGCGCCGCAGCCCTCCCCTCCGGGGCCGCGCGGCTCTGACCGACTGGGCCCTGGTGGCGGCGCCCGGGGTGGGGTGCGGGGCGGGGGCCGGCATTCCCCGCGAGCAGCCCCGCCCCCGCCCGCGCACCGCCCCCGAGGACTCCGCGGGGAGGAGGAGACTCGGGCGCAGAGCGGGGGCCGCGAGAAGCGGGAAGGGAACGCGTGGAGCGGCGGGGCCGCGGCCGGCCCAAGGGCGCCCTCGCCTCGGAGCCCAGCGCGGGGGCCGGGGCGGAGGCGGAGGCCAGCGGGGCTGCGAGCGCGGAGAAGTTTGGCGGCGGAGGGGCCGGGCGTCCCGGGGTCGCGAGGAAGCGGCTGCGGCGCGGGGACCCGGGCCATGGGGGCGGGGGCGGGGGCGGGCGGGGGCGGGCGCGGGCGGCGGGGCGGGCGCGGAGGCGGCGCGGCGCGCACGGAACCCCCGGAGCCGAGCGGCAGCCGCGGCGCAAAGTTAGCCTAGCGCCCCGGGACGAGCCTCGCAGCCGCCGCCGGCCCCAGACCCCATCTCGGCCATGGGCGAACACCCCAGCCCGGGCCCCGCGGTGGCCGCTTGCGCCGAGGCGGAGCGCATCGAGGAGCTGGAACCTGAGGCCGAGGAGCAGCTGCCCGCGGCGCCGGAGGACGTGAGTGTCCCCTCCCCACCCGGCAAACTTTCTAGGGGAACCCGGGGGGAAAGCCACCCCCGTCTTGCCCCCCGCCAGGCAACTTGGAGGTTTCAAGGTGACGCGGGAGCGCCCCGGATTGGCCGGGTCCCGGCGGGCAGGAGGGGGCGGAGGGACTGGTCCCCCGAAACGCGCGCTCACTGCCTCCCCCGCTCGGGCTCCCGCGGCTTCCCTGCGGGACGCAGCCCCGCCGCTGCGCCGCGGACCTGTCGCCGCCGGAGCCCCCTCCCCGCCGCTGGTGCAGTGCCCGGGACACGGCGTTTTCCCGCAGAGGCGGCCGCGTCACAGCAGTGACTCCCCCTCCCCTCACGCCCGCGACCTGCGGGCTCGGGAGCTGGGGAAGGAGCGGACGCCGCAGAGTCCAGATCCCTGGCGGTGCAGGCCGGTTTGGCGACCCGCTCCTCCGCTCCAGGATTAGCTTCCGCCCCGCACCTGCCTTGTCACTGATTGAAATTCAAGCCGGCCCGCGTCTCTGACCCCGGCTGGAGCTGGGAGGGAGAGTGCTGGGAGCGGCTTTGCTCCCAGAACCGGGTCCGGGAGTCCCAGACCGCGGTTGTTCCAGGGGACGGTCCCCTGCGCGCGCGCGAGAGGGGCTTCCCTGAGGGCTTCCCCGCGGTCCTGCGGGCCGGCCCTGGGAACTGGAGTTTATTGGGTTAACCTCCCGGGGCCAATCTACAAATAGGGGTGAAAACCCAGGCAGACACCCTGCCCTGCCCACCCCTCCCTAAGAGGGGGGGATGGTAGTGAAACCAGGCCCCCAGCCCACACAACCAAAGCGGGAAAGTCTGAATGGGGCTGGGGGGAGTTTACGATCTTCTCTCTTTGGCGTCTGCGGTTGAATCTATCACTTCCCTCTCGCCCTAAACAGCCCTGGTAGAATCTGATGTAGTCACCACTTAGACTCAGCCCTGGAAGAGAATGGGTGGGCTTCAGTGCACTCGGCACCCGCCCCCAACAAAAAGCAAAAAACCCCGAAAACCTGCAGGCAAAATGTTAGTGTTTATGCAGAGGTGAGTTCTCCTGTAGGGGTCTCTGGCCCCCAGCAGGTGAGACCCACTGCGGCAGGGTCTGATGGAATTGCAGTGGGCCATGCTCTTCCAGGCCCGGGAGTAGCTGTGGACATAAGCTTTAGGCAGCAGAAATTATTAGAGGCGCTTGGACATAGTTGGACGGCTTTATTTAGTAATTGTTGAGAATCACTTGTTCTGCCAGTTCCAGAACCAGCAACACCCACCTTGCTGCCTCCGCCCCCACCCCCACCCCATCCCTTACTGTGAGTTTCCTCCCTCTGTTCGGTGTGGACTCATTGGGGAGCTCCTCCCAGGGTTCCCCTGCTCTCCTGTGGCCAGTCCCTGATTTTGGTCATGACTCCTGGGCAGCCGCTGGGAGGCTATGTCAGAAACATTCGAAGACTACAGAGACCTTGGTGATAAGTGTGTCTTTCTTTCTCTCCTCTTCCTCCTCTCCTGCATGGCCTCCCTCTCTGCCAGCACTGGAAAGTCCTGTTTGATCAGGTATGTGAGTAGTTAACCCCTCCACTCCTTCCAGCCCTCCCTGAGATTGGTCTCAGTCTCCCTGCTTGCGTGGGCTTCCCTAGCTCTGTGCTCCTGAGATGGTGACGTGGGGTGGGGGTGTGGCTTCGTGCATCTCTGGGGCTGAACGACACTGCTCTCCAGGTATCAGGAGGAGGAGATGGGCTCCCCTGAGAGGATCTCCCTCCCGCCTCCTCCCTATTCTGCTGCACCAGAGCCGGGTTCACACCATATAAAATTGGACGTTATACATTGAATACCTGGGAAATCCTCCGTGTGCCTGAGGATTGCAGTAGGTGGCTGGAGAGGTGGGGGAAGGGCATGGGCTGACAACCCCTCTCCCTTTCTACCTCCACTGTCGAGAGTCCATGACCACCACTGAAGTCAAATCCCTGCCATCCTTGGGAGCTGACACAATATGGACCCTTTTGAAGCCTGATTTGATTTCTTTAATTCTGTCATAGGGATGGGGGAGTGCTGGGAGGTTCCAGAGGGGAGATTGTATGTGATTCTTTGCAATGCCTGGAGTCTAGGTGTAGGGAGTGGAGTGGGGGTGCCAAGTATTGGCTTTTGGATCTGGAGATGGATGTTTGACCTTCAGCAAGGAACTGGCTCTCTCCTCTTTGCTTAGCATTCAAAGTGGGTGCTGTTGTGTGCTTTCTTCTCCCTGTTTGCCCGGTGTTGGGGGATAGTGAGTGTTGTGGCCTTTGGGTGAGATTGATTGCACCATGAAGTTTGTGCAACTTTAAGAAATTGGTGTGAGTGGGCCAGAGGGAATGTGTTGGATTGGAGAAGGAGATAAAGCTGAAAGTTAGCTCCAACCAGGTCTTCATTGTAGGCAGGGGAAGCCTTAGAAAGTTTTTTAGCAGAGTTTTTACGTGATCCAAGCCAGGCTTTGGAAAGCTCCATTGTCTTAGGGGTGAGGGGTGAGTGGGTGGCAGGGATGGGGGGGAGGAGCTGCAGCGCTGAACAGAGGCAAGAAGGTGACAGTGAGGATGGACAGGAAGAGGGACGTGGTGATGGAAGAATTGGAACATTTTAATAGGCCTACATAGATGAGGGTTCCCACATATGTAACTTCGAGTTTCTGAACCTAGGAGGAAAAGAAAAAGTCGGAGTGGGGCCAGGTTCGGTGACTCACTGAACCCCGCATATTTTGGGAGGCTGAGGTGGGAGGATCACTTCGATCACTTCAGCCCAGTAGTTCAAGACCAGCCTGGGCAACAAAGTGAGACCTCATCTCTACAAAAAATAAAAAAACTAGCCAGGCGTGGTAGTACACTCCTGTGGTTCCAGCCACATGGAAGACTGAGGCAGGAGGATTGCTTGAGCCCAGGAAGTAGAGGCTGCAGTGAGCCACGACTGTGCTACTGCACTCCAACTCTGGTGACAGAGTGGGACCCTGTCTCAAAACAAACAAAACCAAGTTGAAGTGGGAGAGAGGTTGGCAAGAATGACAACTTTGGTTTGAGACAAGTTCACTTAGAGGAGCCAGCCGGTTTCAGATGCCCCAGTGGGAGTGGAGACTGGGAATTGCAGTGTGAAAGGCCTGGGGCGTGGATTTGGGGTTAGGATCCATATCAACCACGAGGCCTGGCTGTGGTTTGAAGTTCAAAGCATGCACCAGCTCCTGTCCTGACGGGTAGAGCATCTCTCCCTCTAGCTCCTAAGAGTACAGCAGCTGCTGGCCTGACGCCCCGAGGCAGGAGGGAGCCCGCTGCGCCACTGCCACCACGATCACCAAGCTGCCAGCCCTTCACACCTCCTGCCAGATTTAGAATCAGAACCTAGAACAAAGTGTATCATTCTTTTTTTTCTCTGTCTGTGTCTATCTTTCTCATTTGATTAATTTCCTTTGCCAGTCCCTGTGTGTATGTGTACATTTTGAAACAAACCATTTGGGTGAAAGAAAGAGAGCTTTTAGTAGGAAGAATTTGGAACTCAAGGGAGCAGAAAGAATGTGTAGAACCTAATATTAGCTACTGGTCTATGAAATCCAATTTTTTCAACTGAAGGTAGATCCTGGGTGTCACAGAGAGCATATCCCTGCTTCTGGGAGGCCAGCCTAGAAATCATTCCGGACAAGGAAAATTCATTCTAGGAAAGAAATTAGGCCAGGCACAGTGGCTAATGCCTGTAATCCCAGCATTTTGGGAGGCTGAGACAGGAGGATGGCCTCCCAAAAAGTGAGACCCTGTCTCAGGAAAAAAAAAAAAAAAAAAAGTAAGCAACCCTGATAGGTCAAACTGCAGTCATGAATGGGACATGACACCCATCAGAGTCCCTGTGAGCACATGTGGCTCTGGAGTTCACCTTCCAGAAATCAATGGCATGGGAGGCTGGAACCAGTCAGGCATCTCCTCCCTTCCTTCTTGGGTCAGTCAGACACCAGTGGTCACCCAGTTTCAAACTGGCATCTGCTAGGATCTGTTTTCCAGCAGTTAGGGATAGATTGGACCAGTCCCTCCATACTCTCTGGTTCTTCAGCATGTGGAGTAGACTTGATCTAGCATGACGCCAACTGGACCCCAAGGGCTAGAAGCCATGACGTTGGTCTTGCTGGTTCTATGTGGTCACCCTTAAACTAAATGGCCAGGATGCCTTTTGTGGGAATTGGAGGTGAAGAAAGCAGGTGACCCCAGTCCCATGGAAGCTTCCACATCCCTCTCCCTGGCATTCTGGCATTTGGCTTGCTCAAGCAGGGGTGTAGTGGGGCCAGTCTATGCCACGCCTCCTCACTCCCCCCACTTCTTCCCCATGGAT